TTTCATTATTTCATTAATAAAGTGTAGATTTGTTATATCACTATTGCAATAACTAAACAACTATCTGACTATGTTCAGTAAAACGCCCAGCTAATTCATCATTGTAGAAATGCATTTTTTTCTGTTTTTTCAAAAATTAATCACTTGTTTCTTTTTACCCCATGGGCGGGAAAAATGGTACAGCCAAATGGTGAACAGGTCCAATATCCTTTTTCTAATTCTGAAAAAAAGTTAAATAACGTATGTACATTTTTTACAGAGATAACACTGTATGTTATATAACCTCGACTTATCACTTTGTCACAAATATTCATCAGAGTTGGGATAACTATTTATTTAATTTTGCTTGTAAATTTTGCTTTTCTTAACTTTTTTATTTTCTATTTTTTTTATTTACAACTTAGCTAGGGAAGGTTTAGTTGGTCCATTTCACCCTATCCACGTATAAGTTTTTATAGCTGGGTTTAGCAGGAGTTAATATATACTTTCAAATAATATTAAGAGAAATGATTTAACTATATTTGCGATTTCTCTCGATATCTTAACAGATTTACTATTAATATAAAATCGACTGTTTGTCAACTATTATTTTTAATTTGCAAAAAATACGAAGTATATTAAATAAAACTTTGATTTTTTATATAAAAGCAGCCTGATATTTTGAAAAATACAAAGAATTATATCACTTCATCTGAAATGTATTCGTAGAGATCAGTATAGTATTTTGAAAAACGTTAAATAATATTTCATTGCGTCTAAAATCTATGTTCAAAACAAATATTTTTAGGTCATTAAGTAGTGATAGAAGTTATAAAAAACTGTTTAATCTAACCTAAAATTAACAATACATCTTATAAAACAATTAAATAGCGTATACTTAAAAAATATATTAAGATAAACTAACAACGAAATAAAATACTTTTATTATAGATTTTCAAATATTGCCGTATATTTTATCCGGTGATGGCTGGTTATACATTTTACCCATTTACTTTCAGACATTGTTGTTAAAACATTCTAAACTTTACTTGTTTTTGATATATTAGTGATAGACCATTTTACCCAATGCCCTTTAATCATAGATCTACCATAAAAAATAATTAAAAATTATCAGATTACACAAATTTAAAATTTAAAATGGTATACTAATTTTATTTTTGAATTTTTTAAATTTAAGTATTACTCTTTCAAACTTCTATAAATATGTACAGTTAGTAAGAGTAAGTTTACTAATGAAATTATTATTTATGTCAGATTCAGGTTTAGGCAAAAACGAACTACTTAACTAAAAATATGGTTTACTGTAGGTTGTTTGTATATTACCTCTATTTTTCTATGTATGCATATATACCAGTATTAAAGTTTCACAAAATGGTAAACATGCTCATTTCGGTCGTGTAGAAATTATTTAATGCGGTTATACAAACATTGCAATTTGTGCTGGTGCACTTTCATCTACAATGTCTTTGATAATTCATTCCAGAAAGCAACTATTAGGTAAACGCATTTTGTAGTGCCGAGAGTGGCGAAACTCGTTAAATCTTTTTTTCTCTCGTCCATGAAAGAAAACACTCACCTCTCATAGTAGTCGTGCTATTTATTCTTCTTGGCAGAAATGCTGAAACTACAATGTTCTTAAAAAATCATATTATTAGATATCATTTAAATCAAGATAAAAAATTTCTCGCCTCTTATGTACAATAATATTATAATAAAAAGGTATTTTATTATTTGAGTTTATTTCTACCTTAAGTTATAAAGGTATTTTTAATACACTTTCGGTTTCATATTAGACGTTTTCGATTTTTTCAACAAAATTATAAATATATTTGGGAGTTTCAGTTATTGGAGTATCTGAATATTTTGTTTTTAGTATAGTTTTTTGAACAATTTAAGTGTCTATTAAACTAGTTGGTATTGGTATTTTGCCTTGAGGCAAGTTACATGAACTCTCCGATAAATAATCCACTTGATCAATAAAAAATAAATTCATTCATGAGGGATTAAAAGTATTCCCAGCGGATTTATAATATCACACATAATTGAAAACGAACGAACACGTTAACTTGGAGTATTTTCTAAAGGCAAATATTCAAAAATCAATATTTTTTATGATTGAACCAGTTGCCGTAAGACTTTAATGGTTTACTATGTTCATTAAAACCAAGTACTCTATCATTATACCAAGTAAATCGTCTAATTTTAATTGTAACAAATGTCAAAAGAACTACTCAATTTCTCAAACTTTGATGAATTTTTAAAATTAAACTACTTGTCGTAAGGCCGTAATATTTCAATAAGTTGTATAAGACCATGATATATATCATAAAAAAAAATTCATAAAAATTGGCTTAATTTTTTTCAACAATTAACTACAAGAAAACGGCTCGGTAGATTTTCACCTAGAACTAATCAGTATCATTCCCAACCAATATCTTTCCAACAGTTTTTGATTTTTTAAAATCGTTTCGGTAGTTTGTGCTTAAATGTGGACGAACAGTTCAACACTTTTTTCCAAATTGTAAAGAAACGGCTGGGCAGATCGTCGCACAAAATTGACAAGCGATAGTCCTCATTCAGACACTTCAAATGGTTTTTAGACTTCTGATATCGGTTCAGGCGTTTTTAAGCAATCGTCGATGAAAGGTCTAATTTTGACAAATGCCAAAAAAACGATGCTAATTTTTGCAAATTTTGACGAATTTTTAAAACTAAACGAGTTGTCGTTGGGCCGTAATATTTTAGTATGATATAGAAGACTATGGTGTCTACGGTCAAAAAAATAATAATAAAAATCGTCGAATTTTTTTTTTCCAACACTTTATTACAAGAAAACAGCCCGACCGATCTCTGTCAAAAACTCATCATTTCCAATCAGTATTCGAACGGTTTTTGAATTTCTAAAATCGATTCAAAACTGCGGGCTAAAACGTGGACGAAATTTTTTTCACTTTTCTGTTATTTGCAAAGAAACGGCTTGGCGGATTGTCGTGTAAAATTGATAAACGCTAGTCCTTATTGCAATACATCGAATGGCTTTTAAATTTTTGAAATCGGTCCAGCCGGTTTTGAGAAAACGTCGATTTTCGACAAAAAATCTGTTCACACACACACACATACTTTTTCCAAATTTGGTCTCATTCGATTCAGAAAGGCTTGAAACGTCGAGAAAACATAAAATTAGCAAATCGGATTTTTTGATGAAAACATAAAATTCTCCTTTGGGAAGTTAATAAGTGAAATACTTATCAAGTTTTTCTAATAATTATTGTACAATAAAATTTTACCTAAAGACTTCTTGGTTATTAATAAACATTATTTGATATGAATTTAAATAAATATCACCAACAAAAACTAAATTAATTAATATGTTTTTGAATTGAAGGCTGTAATACATCTACAATTTATGTATTTATCAAAGACAAATTTACTTGAAATTTATAAGTTAACATTAGATGCAATTGATAAAAGTAAAAATAGTATTAGTTATTATGTGTGACAAGTGCTCAAAGGATAATCTAATGCATAAGAAAATATTTACTTCTTTATCAAGGGAAAACATCTTAAGTTTTAGATTATAAACCCTTAGATTACCAACTTTCAATTTATAATTCTGAGAGTATAGACATTTAGATTTAAACATTTAGATTATAAACATTAGCTTATAAACAATTAGGTTACAATCTTATAGATTACAAACTTCTAGATTTCCAAACTTTTCCGTTACAAGTTTTTTTTTTCATTTTACATGGCTGCGGATCTTTCGATTATTACGCCAGTTATATAATTACATCTTTGTGTTTACATTTCATGTATTAATCTTACTATTATGTATAAAAGTATATAAAATATTATAAATATCTACATTATTACTAACGTTTAATATTTGTATGTTCACTGGAAATAAAACATTTTTTCTTGCAGTTACTGAAACATAATTATTCTTATTGGTAGATTCTTATATATTCTGCATTTTCAGAATATATGGTTTATTGTCTCCGGTTCATCTTCACATTCCATGTATCTTACATAATGTATGTCCAAGTCTTAATCTTGTATTTGTAATTCAAATTTTTATTACATACCGTAGAAAATAAGTTTCTTAATAATTTGATTTTTTTACATGTTTTATTGAAGTTAAACTTCTTTAGGCGCGACTAGGGCGGAAGTCCGATACGCTCGAACTGCTCGTCATTCGCTCTCGATGAGATCATTTCTATACGGGTCGATTGTGATTAGTCGTCGTGTATGTGAATAGGGATCTGTCGTATGCGTAACGACATCAACGTTGTATGCGTACCGATATCAACAAAGAAATCGGCATAGATAAATAAACATTTTAAGGTTACATCGTAGTACAAATCTTGATTTAATAAAAAAAATCCTGAATCAGTCGAATATTTTACTCTGTTCATCGTAAATAATTATAATGAAAATAATAAAATAAATAAAACATTTGTGCTGTGTACTAAACGTAAGATTATTGAAATATTTTCTACATTATGCGTAGTTTCTATAAATCTTTGATGTTATTAAAATGGAAAACGATTTTTAGGCAAGACAGATATTACAGCTGCTGTAAAAAAAATACAAGCAGACAATGAATGTATGTTAATTTTAGTTTTTCAAATACAATTATTACATGACGATGAGTAAAATTGTGAAAACAATATTTCTTTATGCGTTTTTTAAAATAATTCACTCTGTGAACAAATATTATAGAATTAATTAATCAGCAATTACTTCATTTCTCTAATGAAGGTTCAAATTCTATGTACTAATTACAATTACAAACCGATCATGTCATCACATTATTGTTTTCAAATATTATAAATACTTTTAATGCTTTTATATATATATATATATATATATATTATATAATTTATAATTTATAATTTATAATTTATAATTTATAATTTATAATTTATAATTTATAATTTATAATTTATTTCTCCTTTCTATTTTCTATTTTATAATTTCTCCTTTCTAATTTCTCCTTTCTAATTTATAATTTCTCCTTTCTCCTTTCTTTTCCTTTCTATTTCTCCTTTCTCCTTTCTCCTTTCTCCTTTCTCCTTTCTCCTTTCTCCTTTCTCCTTTCTCCTTTCTCCTTTCTCCTTTCTCCTTTCTCCTTTCTCCTTTCTCCTTTCTCCTTTCTCCTTTCTCCTTTCTCCTTTCTCCTTTCTCCTTTCTCCTTTCTCCTCCTTTCTCCTTTCTCCTTTCTCCTTTCTCCTTTCTCCTTTCTCCTTTCTCCTTTCTCCTTTCTCCTTTCTCCTTTCTCCTTTCTCCTTTCTCCTTTCTCCTTTCTCCTTTCTCCTTTCTCCTTTCTCCTTTCTCCTTTCTCCTTTCTCCTTTCTCCTTTCTCCTTTCTCCTTTCTCCTTTCTCCTTTCTCCTTTCTCCTTTCTCCTTTCTCCTTTCTCCTTTCTCCTCTCTCCTTTCTCCTTTCTTCTTCTCTCCCTGTGTCTCCTGCTTGCCCCTCCTCCTGTCTCCTTCTCCGCTGTGTGCCTCCGCGTGTTCCCCTATTACTCCTCCCCCCTAATAAAAATTATTATATTATGTATTTATTTATAATTTAAATGGCATCCCATCTGATAGCAAAAAAGACTGTTAATGAAATAAAATTAAGGAATTTGAATATTTTAGTAGTTGTTCAATATTTCCTGACAAATCTGATGCTATAATACCATGTCTACATTCAGTATGATATAAATAATGATCACAGAAATATATCAAAAGAAAAATGATTTACATTTTTTGTCTCTTTACTACCACTGGTTCACAGTCTTTAGTTAGTTGATATAGTTTTCATGTCCACTGAATCATTAATAAAATATTCCCGAGCTCCTTTGCTGAGGATGTTCTTTTCGTCGTCGCTACATGCTAATTAGAGCAGACATTGTAGCGAAATGGGTTGTTTTTCAGCGCGGGGTCGGTTATATGGCGGTGCATAAAGACTTTTCCTATCCCATTTCCGTCCTCTCTTTACCTTGGATTGCAACTCTTCACAGGAAACAGTGCACGTTCACGCTCTCTTTTATGTTTCCGCCGTTTCATTTCCTACAACCAGGGCCGGAGTAAATAGAACTCTTTCATACTTCGAACAATGACGGAGATACAAACGTACCAGCTTGGATGTTGGTGTTTGTTGTATTTGTTTATTTAGAATTATTACAAGACTTGTCCAGGTAGTTGTGTTATTTTTGCTAACTTTGCTTTCCGTACGGTAAGTTATAGTAACAGCAAAATACCTTAGAAAAAGGTAACCTTGGCATACCTTAGAAAAAGTGTGTGTGTTTTTTTTTTGTATAGCGAAGGAAATGCTTTTACGCATCCCAGACCGGTCTTCTGTCTGGGTATGTCGGACTCGATACCGCCCTGGTAATCCCGACTAAAACCTCCGCTTTGCCCTTGCATCTGTTCCCCACGGAAACCGCCGTTAGGCATTACTTCGTGGGGGGAGGATCTAGAATGATATAAATTCTTAACTTGTTATAATCAATGTTATAATCCATAAACATTATACTATTATTATTATTATTATTATTATTAGAAAAAGTGTGTAGATGTTTGTTTTTGTATAGCGAAGGAAATGCATTTATGGATGCCAGGCTGGGTATGTTGGTAATACCGACTAAAACCTCCGCTTTGCCCTTGCCTCTAGTTCTTATGGAAACAGCCCTTAGGCATTACTTTGTGGGGGAGGATCTAGAATGTAATCATTTTTGTACTGATTTTATACTTATCTTTTAAATGAGTGTGCAGGTGTGTGTTTGGGTAGATGTATGTGTGTGTGACTCAATACCGCTCTGGTATAATACCGACTAAAACCTTCACTTTGCCCTTGCCTCTGGTCCCCACGGAAACCGCTGTTAGCCATTACTTCGTGGGGGGGAGGATCTAGAATGTAATCATTCTTGTACTGATTTTATATTTATCTTTTAAATGAGTGTGTGTGTGTGTGTGCGCATACACATTTCTGTCGACGATTTCGGAACACGCATCAACCGATTTGAATAATTCAAAGAATATTCGCTTCGTACTGATAAGGAGACGTGCTGATTTGTTTTTGGCAAAGGCAGCTCTAGCCGTTTCGAAGATGCGGGGCTAAGAGACCCAAAAATTGTAATTCAGTTTTTGAGATAGCGGGGCGCCATATATGAATAATTTAAGAAACATTATATTTATGGAGGCTAAACAAAGAATTTTTGAGGCAGAGAGATTCGATAGAAACTAGTTGGTTTGGTATTTAGCCTTGAGGCAAGTTACATGAACTTCCCGATATGTATAATGAATTGACTTAATCAATAAAAAATAAATTAATTTATGGGTCATTAAAAGTATTCCTAGTGGATTTATTACACATAATTGAAAACGAGCGAACACTTTGACTCGGAGTATTTTTTAATAGAAAATTTTCAAAAATCAACAATTTTTATAATTGAACCAGTTTTCATAGGACTTGAATGGTTTAGTATGTTCATTAAGACCAAGTACTCTATCGTTATACCAAGTAAATCGTCTAATTTTAATTTTAACAAACGTCAAAAAAACTACTCATTTTCTTAATCTTCGATGAATTTTTAAAATTAAACTACTTGTCGTAAGGCCGTGATATTTCAGTAAGTTGTATAAGACCATGATATCGCCATCGCCAAAAAAAGTTCGATAAAAATCGGCTTAATTTTTTTTTTCAACAAGTTAATTACAAGAAAACGGCCCGGTAGATTTTCATCTAAAACTAATCAGTTTCATTCCCAACTAATATCTTTCGAACAGTTTTTGATTTTTTAAAATTGGTTCGGTAGGATGAGCTTAAATGTGGACGAAATGTTTAACACTTTTTTTCAAATTACAAAGAAACGGCTTGGCAGATCGTCGCACAAAACTGACAAACGATAGTCCTCATCGAAATACATCAAATGTCTTTTAACTTTCTGAAATCGGTTCAGGCGTTTTTGAGAAAACGTTGATGAAAGGTCTAATTTAGACAAATGCCAAAAAAACGATACCAATTTTTGCAAACTTTGACGAATTTTCAAAGTTAAACCAATTGTCGTAGGGCCGTAATATTTTAGTATGATCTAGATTCTAGAAGACTATAGTATCTACCGTCAAAAAAAAAATAATAAAAATCGTCGAAAAAATTTTTTTTAACACTTTATTACAAGAAAACGGCCCGGCCGATCTTTACCAAAAACTAATTAGCACGATTCCCAATCAATACCTTTCGAACGGCTTTTGAATTTTCATAATCGGTTCAGAATTGCGGGCTAAAATGTGCACGAATTTTTTTTCACTTTTCTGCTATTTATAAAGAAACGTCTCGGCCGATCGTCCCACAAACACTGACAAATGATAGTCCTCGTCGAAATACATCGAATGGCTTTTAAATTTTTGAAATCGGCCCAGCCGTTTTCGAGAAAACGTCGATTTACTGCAAAAAATCTGTTCACATACACACACACACAACACACATACTTTTTCCAAATTTGGTCTCATTCGATTCAGAATAGCTTGAAACGTCGAGAAAACATAAAATTAGCGAATCGGATTTTTTGATGAAAACATATTTTCCAAAAATAATTAATATTTCGTAGTATAGAATGTTAGCGGCAGATCATCATAATAAGTAGACAAGTAGACAGGTGGACTGGTAGACAGTAAGAAAAGTAAACATGCTTAATCTTCTAACTAAATAACTAAATCACATTATCATTGATTATGTTAATTATTTATAAGTATCGGTATTTTGCTGTAATACAAATTGACACTTACACCTAGGTTTCTAATAAACCATCATAAACTTCAAGTATCAACTATTTTTATAAGCAAAATCTTGTTCTTACACTTCTGTAGTTGAACAAGACTAAAAATCTTAACATTTTGGTTGAACATTTTTTTAAAACATTACTATGAATTTTTAGTTTATTCACACTACAAGCTACAAGCTGTAATTTGTTATAGTTTTTGATACTGCAATGTTTATTTGTTTGAAAAATAATAACCGTTATATGAGATCTATTCTATATAGACTACAAGCACTTACTCTGGCCCCATACTTTATTTTTTTTACCATTCAATTTACAATATGTCTTAGTAAAGATATTTAGTAATTGATATATTCTTTCATCAATTTTCACAACAAATGATTCAGAATGACTTGAAACGTCGATAAATAATAATAATTAATGTATAAAAAATTGACCCAAATTGGTGAACCCAGCATCCTCGTCCTACTTATTCTCTTTTGGCATGGTGTTTATCTAGTTTTTTGATCGAGATTTTCGAAGTAAATCGTGTTGGTGTTCATCTTCTGGAATTTGTTTTTTGTCAGGAATAGACACTTTTGTTTTATCAACGCCTCTTGTTGCATATAGCCATTGGCTTAACAGCAGATTAGTCACTTTCTGGCATTATCACACTCGAATATGTAGTACCCAAATACAAACCACTTTAAAATTACTGCTAACTGCAACACCAAAACCGTTCCTCGGTTTCTTTGAGACTCGAACAAGCAGCAAGTCGACCCGATGCATTCGGCGCCGGGTCGACACGCCTTTTTACTAGTCCCTACCAGAAGCAGGAACGAAATGAACGAAATTATTAACAAAATTAACATTTTTATAAAAGAATTATCAACATTTATATAAAAGATTTAGATATTCGAATTTTTCTTCCGCTTAACGCATATATTATAGTACCTTACGAGTGATCATATATTTTTCAAAAACATATATGATATATTGGTTTAGTGCAAAGAATCAAACATTCTACTAATTTAATATTTGTGTATACCATACATGTTCTCATGAAATGTACATCAGAAACCGCGTATTTTTACAAAGTGCTTAATTAAATTTAAAATTCCGAGAACTCAGTGATTTTATTTGAGAAGAAAAATACTGTTAAACATGCAAAGTAAAAATCTCTTGTTATAAAAATATAGTGCAATATGGACTGAGTTAACATCACACAATGTTTTTGCAGGAACTATGTACCTACATGTGGGAAAAAACTCAAATTAAAATAAATTTCTTTAGAAGTTGCACAGCGCATATGATTGCATAGAATAAAAAGGAGTATAATTATTCTTTGATATTAATTGAGGCAAGTATAAATGGTGTAGAACACCTAGGTAGAAGAGTATGGAACTTTTTATGGAGGCTTTTAATATATATATATATATATATATATATATATATATATATATATATATATTAGGGTGGTCCTTAAAATGGTCATTTTCGAATTTCCTTGCTCCCAGGGGCTCAAATGGTTCCAAATTGATAAAAAACAATTCTCTGAAAGTTTTAGCTCTTAATATTAACGTTTAGATGGTTTTTGTATGGAAATAGCATGGAAAAATTTTCAAAAATTGTAAAAATGTTTTTTAGATGTAATTTAGCGAACGAATGAATGAATAAAACTCATTCATTTGTCGCTAAGTTATACCTAACACATTTCTTTTAAATTTTCAAAAATTTTTCCATGCTCTTTCCATACAAACTTTGATTGAATTGCGCTCTATCTAAACGTTAATATTAAGAGCTAAAACTTTCAGAGAATTGTTTTTTATCTATTTGGAACCATTTGAGCCCCTGGGAGCAAAGAAATTCGAAAATGACCATTTTAAGGACCACCCTAATATATATATATATATATATATATATATATATATATATACAATGCAATTTTAGGAATAATGAGTTATATGATTATTTTTGTTAGTACTCTACAATCTATTCTTTGAAACTTTGGTTCAAATAAAAGAAACAGATGATATTCATGAAAAATGTTTTATAAACTTATCGATAAATACGAGCTATTTATTGGTAGATATTAATTATTTTTTTTAGAAAAATCTAAAAAAATGGATGTGATTACAAAATTGATATTTTATTCCCTTCTCATTTTAAAAAATTTAGAAAATAATGTTTTTTAAGATCTTTTACCAAATGTTTTACTAGCCTATTATATGATATTCAAAGCTGTACATTATATAATATATTAGCTTAACTAATTATTTCAGAATTTGATAATCTTAAAAATATCCT